CTGATGAGAATGCCCTGACACAACTGTCAGAAGAGAGCACGTTTAAGAAATATAATGAACATAAAACAAAGGGAAAGACAACATGAAAGAGAAATGGCTGCATCAAAACAGCTTTCAAGATGTGAAGGCATTCAAAGCTTAGGGAGAACTGTAAAATAAACTATAGTGAATCAAGAGATGAGGATCTCCATGTGGGTTCCTGGATCGCGGGAGGAGGGGGTCTCCATGGCGAAGTGGTCAAGCCGTTTGCCTGGCGGTCTGAAGGTCGTGGATTCGTTTCACAAGTATAAAGTTCCCTGAGATCCCTAAAGCGACAGAATTCGTGTTGTGCGCTGTGCTTTCAGCAGGCGGCAAGCCGTTCTGAGGAAGGAGAAACCGAGCCATATGGGATGAAACCCAGTGCAATGAAGTTGATCCTCTCATCTTTAACCTTTTCTTGTAAATGGTGGGGAAAGACCAACTGCCCCTTGACAAGCTTGCCACTTAAAGTGACTTCTTCTTCTTCTTCTCTTCCACCTTGTACCTCATCGAAGTAGAGTTGTGATGTTCGTTGATGAGCTCTGTCAAGAGCACTATTAAGACTGATGTTAATTTCTCTAAGGCTGTTCTTAATGCCATCACTCCATATTTTCCGAGGTCTTCCACTCGCTCTATACCCGTTGTAACGTTTTAGTGTGGCTCGCTGTGGCAGATAGTACCATTTTATTTCTAAATTGTCTTTATGTCTTCCTATCATCTTTGTCTCTGTCTTCGTAGTGTTTATTTTCATATTATAGTCCTCCCCTTTTTTACCAATTTGATTTAGGTCGTTCCTTAAAGTGACTAATTTAGGATTGTCTGAAATGTAATGTTTGAGGCCTAAAGGCACTGTTATCGCAGCCTAGCTGTTACACATTGCGAGGCGGAAGAAAAAAGCTGAAGGCAAAGATAATGGCATTGTGTGGGAGACACGGAACCAACCTTTGATGATGGATGAAAGTGGCGAAAAGCTGAACAAAATTGAGTTCTTTGTGAGAAGTCATCTGATGATACAGTTCTTACAGAAGGTATCACAAGAGAAAAATGAAGAAGAGAAAGAGAAGAGAAAAGAGAAAAAACATGCTAGCGGAAGTACGCCGAACTACGTGAATATTATTAATAAAACATATTATTTGACATAAAATAACAGTCGATCAATTCTTTGTTTATTATTATTATTATTATTATTATTATTATTATTATTATTATTATTATTATTATTATTATTAGCATAAACTAAACAAAAAAAGTTTAACGACAAAGGAAAGTAGCCAATTGTTCATAAATGTTTCTGCACACAAGGTGAGAAATGTGCATGAACACGCATTCATCAGCTGAACAAAAATTGCAACAAAATACACAGGTAACAAAATATAATTTTCTATAAAAAAGAGGCTAATAATTTTTTCATTATTAGCAAATAATTACTTCAACACTTTTATAACTTGGAATTTCTATTCTCGCCCACCCAGGCTGTATGTGGCTTTAAATAATACAGGTGATGAAAAGGAGCTTAGCTTACAATAAGATTAGGACAGAATGACATACAAGAAACTATGTCTGTGAGTAGACTTTATCTTCGCCATTGTCGGTGAATATATGTGTGTGTAGTAGACTTGGTCTTTGCCATTGTCGGTGAATATGTCTGTGAGTAGACTTTATCTTCGCCATTGCCGGTGCAAAGCCATGGTGAGAAAGGAGGAGGGACGGTTGCCGTTAACTCTCCTCACCCTGTAAAAACCTCTTTATTGGCCACAGACACTTGCAGAAAACGAAATTTTATCTATGATATTGAAACGTTACAATTCGGTTTCAGGAAAGGGCGAGGTTGCACTGATGCCATATTTGCACTAAGACAAGTCTGTGAAAAGACACTCGAATACGATAAAGAGCTGAACGTGGTCTTTGTAGATCAAGAGAAGGCATTCGACCGTGTAGACAGAGATGTGTGCTGTGGAGAATTCTTGACGATTACGGAGTGCATAGGGTCAATTATTAGACAACATCAGAGCCCTCTATGAAAAAGTGAAAGTGCAGTAAGAACATCTAGTGGTCTTTCTGAATGGTTCAAAGTCCACACTGGTGTCAGACAAGGATGTGTACTGTCTACCATTACTTTTCATAAACATACATGGATAAGATCCACTGTAGAAGCAAACCCAGACGTGTATGCTATAAACGAAATACTTTTTGCTGATGATCAAAGCATACTGTAATCAAACTGAATATTGATCTACAGGAACATCTGACTACTCTCAACAACAGTTGTTTACAAAGCCAGCTAGACGGGAAATAAAGATAAGACATTAAAAAAACACTGTCAAAAAAACACAGTTTAGATCATAGAACACAAAAAATGAAATGGTTTGGACATCTAACCGGATGAAAAATGACAAAAAACATCAAAAATTTTTCAACCAAAAAGCTCGGTATGGGCAAGGGGAAAGCCCAAGGGAAAACGGTGGATGACGGGGTTCCGAAACTCCCAAAGCATGGCCTCAGAACTCAGATCGCCCCCCTTTTTATGACAGGAACTTGCATCTCCCCAAACGCTTAGCGGTACGGGGAAGGAAAAAAAAAAAGTAAAAAATAATATTTAAAAACCCAAAGATAAACCCAAACGAGAAATATATGAGATATGTGGCAATAAGGTTAGGAAAAAGGGTCTTTTTAAATTAAAAACGGGAAAAAAACGGAACGTCAATATTTTTTTAAAGTGGTTGTAAATTATGCAGTGTGTACCCGTCTGTTACATTGTGGGATGGGTTTTTCCTGGGACATGGGGGGTGGGGAAAGGGAGTTTTAAATTTTGGGGTCAAAAGTGAAAAGGCCAAACCCCGCCACCCCTCTAAAAATTTTGGGGCATGTGACGCATCTGGTAAGAAATTAAAAAACCCGGATAAAATTGAGGGATAATGGGTGATGGATGATGAAGGGTGGTGGACCACTTGGAACTAACATTTGGAAGGAAGTGTAAAAGCCCTTTCCCCCGAAAACAGCAAGGGCTTAGGGTCCTAATTTTTATAACCAATCCACCCCATTTTATTTGGGTCAGCATCACGCCGGCCCTTTATTTTCCCGGGGCGCACCCCTACCCACTTTGGTGGGTAACCCTTGGGGGCCCAAGGCCTTTTTTTAAAAAGTCCCGGCTTTTTGCCAGGGGGCGAAACCACGACCTTTCCACGCGAAAGGGGTCTAGGCCCCCCACGGGAAAATTTGGTAATAGACACAAGGGAAATAAACAAAGAAAAAAGCGAAAATTNGATGATGGAACATGTTAGGACAACAGGAAGGATTTATAGAAGATATACGGAACCAAACCCAAGATTACCCGGAACAATATTTTACTTTATTGACCATAACACCAGAAATATTCTTTGACATTGTTCAACATTACACTAAGAATATTCTTTGATAATATTCATCATAACACCATTAATATTCTTTGACATTGTTCACCATAACAGCAGGAATATTCTTTGACATTATTCATAATTACACCAGGAATATTCTTTGGAATTATTCACCATAACACAAGCTTTTCCGTCTGCTGTGTTGTGAGTCCCACGCTGTGAGCCAGTACTTTGACTCCTGTTCCAGAACCTTCAATCCTAGGCACTTGGGCAACCCCCCCCCCCCCACCCCCCTTTGTGCTGTCTAAATTTTTTTTCTTTATTTATAGGCTAAGGGTGGGGTGGGGGAGGGGATGGGATGGGCGGGCAAAGCGGGACCAGTAACAGTAAATAGAAATTCTCGATGCAAGCAGTTGTTGACATATTTAATGTTGTTTCAGATATGTTACACGTAGCCAAATAATTTCTTAAGGTCTCGAAGATATGGTTTTACAGAAGAATCCGTACAGTGCATTAGACAGCCAAGAAAAGCAACTAGGATTTTTATTTTTAAATAGGCAATGGCTCAAAGACAAGTTATAACAAACACCAGAAAGAGAGAGTAGTAATTCTTTGGTCACGTTATGAGAGGGCAAAAAAAAAAACTGGAACATGTGACCAATAGGAATGTCTGCGTATATGTGGTGGGGGGGGGGGGGGGGGGGGGGGGGGGGGGGGGGGGTTTTTTTTGGGGGGGGGGGGGGGGGGGGAAAAAAAAAAAAAAAAAAAAAAAAAAAAAAACACAAAGAACAAAGAAAGACAAAAGCGGAAAAAGATCTTGACAGTCTTTTGCCATGGCGTGGAGTGGTGTCAGCACACAACGTTATACTTGGTGTTAAAGATCGAAGATTGTGGAGAAGTATGATCGCCCACGCCTAGCAGCAAAGCACATGATGAGTATTATTATTTACCAATCTGTAAATTATTATTACTATTGTTCATTCATTCATTCAGTAGCATGTCCCTCGCGGAACCTCGCTGCCATAACAACCCTCCGGAAAACCTTCCTATCATGAGCAAGATTTACTATTGTTACAGACTGAAATTTGTTTTTAGGCCCTTTTAAAGCCCACCCCTCCTCACTGGACATTTGTAATGGGTTTTACCCCGCCCCCCCCCCGCTTTTCTGAGTATCCTAATGTTTTCTTTGTGTCTGCGCCCTGGTCCCGTTCATTTATTAACCTGGGTTTCGTCTTAAACTACGGACACGGCATGCTGGGCAGTTGCCAGGGATTGGCAAGCATAGGGGGTTCAAGATAATTTTATTTTATGGATAGTTTACAGCGTTATTCACACAAATGGCTGAACAGGCAGGAGGGCCCTCTACTGCGGTCATGGCCAAAGTAGATGCGATCACTTCTAAGACAGAGTGCATCAGTCTGAGAGTCGAGGAAACAATCCCCTGCAGACGTATTAGCCAGCTTTGAAAAACGTATGCAACGCTGACCCATGAACCAATAATCACAAGCCCAGACACAGTTTACTAACTAGGACATTCATCTGAAAGTCCACTGCCAGTAAATGCTAAAGGAAAAGACAAATAAGATCAGCAAATATTTTGAAGCAACAAATACTCGGTGATTGGAAAAGTTAATCAACGGCGCCTAAACAGCAAAGAAAACAACGAGCAAATAATCCGTTGGAATATTTAGTTCTGACTACAACAGATGCAGTGCTTCTTGAGTTTGACGGTCGGGATGAGGAGGATTCAGCAAGAGATCTGGTGGAAAAGCAAGGAAACCTGATGGTTCTGTTAAACAATGGGATTGCCTTTCTCGATGTAATCTTTTCCACGTGGATCGGGTCTGCGCAAGGTCCAATACCCACAGGAACCTGCAGAATACACATCACAGGTGTGAGTGTCAGTACAAATGAGAGTGGTGAAATTTTACATACATAGTTAGTTAGCTAGTTGGGTTATCATCATTGCACTCCGGACATGTCTATAGGTGCTCAGATCCTCCCCTCGGTATAAACCCCAACGTCCGATGGCTTATAGTACCAGTTCTATGTTGATTAACAAGTCTTCTGGTGTGCGTCTCGTTTTTTGCTATGCCGATCCTAAATTCCAAGTCTGCCATTCTGGCGTGTGATGTGGATTCACTGCCACCAAAGTCCTCTATCCTCCCCATTTCTCTGAGGGCATAAATAATATCAGCATGATCCATAGGCTGACCGTCGGTAGTGATAGCGGATCCAGCCAACCTGTCAGCTCTTTTATTTCCATCGACGTCTGCATGTTACATACATTTAGCTCTAGTTTTTAGTGCACACATCTTACTAATGAGCAAGAAATTAGACTGTAGGAAGCCGTCGTGGTGTAGTTGCTAGACGCTGGCCTGCGGCTCCGAAAGTCATGGGTTCAGGTCCTGAGGCTGATTTAAGAGAAAAATTACCGTTGCTCCTAGTTCAATCCAGCCTTGAACGAGTACCAGGTAGAGTCATGGGAAGTAAAGGTGGTCGGCATGATGCTGACCACTAAATGCCACTTTGTAATTTTTTTTAGGTCTAGCATAATACTCCTAATATGCCGGGAAAAGGGTCCTTTACATTTTATTATATGCCCAATAAGCTTGAATGATTGGAAATGGGTCCTTTACTCTTCCTTTTAATTAAAAAGTCATATTGAGGATTCTGAGATGTTGATATCACTATCATCCTGTATAGTTAATATATGTTACATAAGGCTCGGAGTCTACTGCAGTCCTTTCGATAACATGGGTGGAATCAAATCCAGAAACTTTGACCTCTCTATTCAACTTTCGTTTTAGGGATAGCCTGGATATGTAGAAGAATTTTTTTTTAACTTTTAAGAAACCATGAGTTGTCAACCCTTTAGCTCAGTACTACGGATATCGCATCCCTTACGCCTTGATTCCATGATAGGTACCGCAAATCTAGGAGAAATGTTTCTTTTCTGCCTACTCCCGGGCGTGAACCTGGACACAAGAAACTCGTCACTCGGTCGCCGCGAAGTCAGCTTTAACCAACTGCGCTAACGAGCTGGGCAGTGTAGAGGAATCAAATACTGTCCATCTTTATAGTCTTGACATTCTAGCATTTAAGTTAGTGGACCAAAATCTGCAAGAGTAAAGATCCTAGACCTTCAGGCTATCAGTATGGCAGAGGACATCACGGAAGTGCCTACTCATCCTAACGGATTCTCAGTCGCCATAGCTGCCTTGGTTATACCACAGTGTGTTCAATATCCTCTACAATGAGGGGAAGTTATTATGTTTTTATTTTTTGCAGAAGTTTGAGGCAACAACGGCCTGCTTCAAAACTCTGCAGTACGTTTAGAAACGTGAGAGCTAGTAAGTGACCGAGTTCCTTTCTTTGCTGCGTTTTCTCCCCTCGCGATTCTTGCTTAAAGGTGTGATTAGAGAGATATCTTTCTGGGTGGCAGGCGAACAGGGTGAATCTCAAATATCTTGTTCAGCCTCTAAAAAAGTTATAATAGTGGTACCTGTAATGGCAACACCCACTTGGTGGAGCCAGTTGTCCTGTACAGGTGAGGATATGGGACCAAAATTCTGTTTTCTTTCTCTGGGCTACTATCTGGCGGCTTAATCACCTTATATTACAAAAATCGATTTCTGGATGGCAAAAAAACAAGGCTAATCCTTGTTACCCGTTCAATTTCCAAAGAAGTTATAATTGATACTCTTGTAACGGACACTTCAGCCTGGTTTAGTCAGCGGGAATGTACAAGTAAAAGAGTGAGACACAAATTGCCTACATGCTTGCTATTATCCTTCTTTGGACTGCTCCCTGAAATTACGCCATCTTACTCCGGATGACATACTAACAATCGCAAATACCCTCCAAAAAAAAAAGTTATAATCTGGGTATCCGTAATGACTACAGCAGCCTGGGGTATCTTACAGTCTTATATGGCTATATATGGGAACACGTGTGAGCTGGTGAAATACCTTATGTAATAACTTTACGTGTGTATACCCAGCTTATCGTGCTTGGCTCTTCCATCAACGACAGACTGCATTTCTGGTGGCAACTGCTGTCTTTGGCGCCTCTAACAATTGCAATATGTATTTACTGCCTGCTCATATTTCTGGATTTTTCCGGGACTAATTGTTTGTTCCCCAATTTTTCAAATAGAACAGTGAAGGAAATTTTATCTGATTTTTGCAAGCGCAGGAACGCAGTAAGTCTTGCAGTAAAGTTGAGACCTATACTAAGACTAAGATATGGGAACACGTTTTGTTTTTGTTTTTGTTTCTGTTGAAGGTTTTTAAAAACCCCTTTAGATTTTTATTTTGTATTATTAATATCTCAAAAACGGGAGTCAAACAGCTATAAATCCCGGAAACCCCGTTCCAGAATGTAGTTATATAGCACAGTACTTCTTCTACCTTTCTAACCCCCAATCAAGCTAGCACAGGCCCTCAACCAACTCACGCCAAGTCGTTATGTCCTTCGCTATCACATGCAGCTCTTCCCATGTCCTCCCTATATTTTTAACTTCACTCTCTACCTCCCTTCTTCATGTGTTTCCTCAAAACTTCCATTGTTCTTCCTACATCGTACAAAGTTTTAACATTTCAGGTATCGATTCTGGCGGTTTTCTTAGGTGAAAGGAGGTGCGTGGACGATCCAAACGTCTTTCGATTTTTTCCACGCGGTATCAGACTTCTTCTATTAGAAGAGCCTCCCTTCATCTTGGTTTGCATGGCATTTCTTGTTTCTCTTTTTGACTTTCCCATAGTTGGTTGCTTTTTATGGCTCTTGTTTCTACAGGATGAGGTAGACAACCTCAAGCCCAACACTACCCTTAGTCGCCTTTTACGACAGGCGTGGTAGTGTGCAGTGTTAATGTTCTTTGCTTCCCGCCAGGGCCCCAGTGACACACGGGCGTACTGAGGTACTAAAAAATAGTTACTAAGTAATTTGTAGTCCAGTTTGGCTGGGTTATCATAGGGACCCAATGTGAGTGAGTGAGATTTAACCCCACAAGGACATCCACCAAGGATAAACACCCGGTGACACAAAGTGCCATCATGCAGATGAGGATCACAGGGGGCAGAGGTCCCAGGAACCCCGTTCAACCGTTAGGTTGTATTAGGGCCCCCGGCAACAGCCAGATGAAACTTTAAAACAAACAAAAAATTGCGTCTGACATCGGGACGCGGGCTGATTATTCGCCTGCAAACTATGATCGAACTTCTTTCAGGCTTGCTGTGATAACATCGACGTACTATAAAGAACCTGCAATACGATATCTAAAATTCTCACCTTAAAAGATAGTTTTCCCCCGGCTGGAGTAAATCGAAGATCTACTGCCAGAAAATAGTCAATCTTGATTTGACTGCTCCCCAAACTATAAGGGGAGATCATCCGTGTATGTGTAGGGATGGTCACCACGAACTTCTGTTCTTGTCCAGGATTTGTTTGTTTTCTCTCCCCTGTTGACGGATCTTTGTGGTGTATCTTTGACAGTGTAAAGATCATCGGTTCCACTTTGGGGCTGATAGTCACATATTCTTGAAGGGTACATGTGATATCCTGGGAAATTAAAAGGGAGACAATGTGAAAACAAGCTAGGAAGAAAAATAAAACTGGTGCAGATTCATAAACATTATTGTTTAACGATTCAGACAGTGGACAGATGGACTTGACTGGTGGACGTCCTGCCACATCTACCAGCCCAGATATGGTGAAATAGATTGAGGCAATTATTCATAAAAATAGGCTAACCACAAAAAAAAAATCCATCCCCACATAGGAAGAACTATTTCATTATTTTGAAGCCCCACCCTGGCTGTTGCCGGGGGTCCTAATATAATCCAACTTATGGGTTGAACGGGGTTTCCGATACCTCTCCACGGGTGATCTTCATCCGAATGATAGCAGTTTGTGTCAGCTGGTGTTAATCGTTCGGTGTGATATCCTGGTGGGGCTGAACGTCATCATCGCTATCGGATTACAAATCAACAATTAGTCTTTGTAATTATTAAAAGTCTAGGGTTTTTAAATGTTTGCCCAAAATGTTCCTAAAAGTCTTTCGAAAAATCACAGATTTCAAATTAAATCAGTTTACTCTGAATTGTTGCATCATTTTGCTGTTAAGAAAGAGACAAAGTTTTGCCCAATTTGTGACCCTTTGAAAATAAAGTTAGTTTGTTCGTTTGTTTGTCGTGGTGACAGCACTAGCCATGTTGCCTTAATATTTAAAAAAAAAAGACAAGTAAATGGGTAAACCATTTGATAATTAAATTTGACCATTTCGCATACTTATGATTGCATTTCTGATTGCATGGTTACGCTGAAATTAAATAGATTTTCAAACTATTAATTGAGAGAGCTTTAAGTCACAGTAACTGCTTTACCCACGTAAAGTAGCAGCAGCAGTGATAGTTGTGGTTGGGCTGTTACACCAAAGTGCTCTTATGTGAAGACCGCCGGTAAGGTTATGGCGTTCTTCTGTCAGCAAGTGAAATTATGCATCCTAACCTGACCAGTCTGTGGCGACAGCACTAGCCATGCGGAATCAAATCTTCTGGCTCACGACTCTCTGTCTACTCTGATGGTGACACAGATAGCAGTGACATTATTTTAGTAGTTGTACTGGTACTTGAAGGATGATGTGGTAAATATTACACTAGCCGCATTCACTACCTATTACAATTCCTGCTCCCCATTTTAATCCGAATGGACTGGGATGTCAATGTCAGTTACAACAACAACAAAATATCGCCAGGTGATGATTTTCAAAAAGAGGGAGAGAGCAGTAGTCGGTAGAAGAGGGGAGGGGAGGGGGTAATGACTAAAATTTAAGAGAACTTAAAGAGCTTTACACGTGATTTTCAAGTTCTCATTACTTAATTTGTTTATATTTTACTAATGCTACCTTCGCTATTCTATTTTTTTACGACTTACTTTGTTATTTACAAGTACAGTTGTAGCTTTACTTCCGTCTCCTATAAAAATACACACAGCTTTAGCATGTGATAACCAAAAAAAAAAAACCATTTTTGTTACTGTGCTAATAACACCATTTAAACGACCACTAATATAAAGACACAATTGTAAGGTGCGTGTTCTAAAGTTGGAAAACCGGACTATCTCTATATCTGTGCAGAGAATGATTGCGACATTAACTATATTAGACACGTGCGATTTCCAATGTCTTTCTTTTCCAAAAACCTTTGATGAGGGAGAGAGTAGTAATTGGATTTAGTTGTGGTGGTGGTGGTGGGGGGGGGGGTGGTGGGGGGGGGAGGAGCGGATCAAAGACTATCTCTATATCTGAGCAGACAATAATTGTATTAGACACGTGCGATTTCTATTTTTCTTTCATTTCCATTTAGCCAAACTATGCCACAGCAACGCGTGGCCGGGTACAGCTAGTATATATATATATATATATATATATATATATATATATATATATATATATATATATATATATATATATATATAGACACACACATATATATATATATATCTATATATATATATCCATACATATATATATATATATATATATATATATATATATATATATATATATATATATATATATATATAAGGGCTGTACCGAATATTCGCTTTGTATTCGCTTCAGGGCCGAATAGTGGACCTAATAGCTATTCGGTATTCGGCCGAATAGTAGCGGTCGTGCAGAATACGAATAGTGATTTCTGCATACACTGCGATGGACTGAAATAACTCTCTCATTAATAATTTCACAATTTATAGCCGACTTTTCTTGATTTTCGCCGCGGCACCCCTGGCATACGCACCTAGTTTTAGAACCTCTGCTGTGATGCCTAGGAGTCAGCAGGCGCTGTTACCACGCAACCGGGTCGCATTTTTCCCCGCTACGACAGATTTAGGCAACGCTACTGTTGTGTTAAAGAAGGCATGAAGAAACTTGAAAGTGTATCTGTGTGTGTGTGTGTGTGTGTGTGTGTGTGTGTGAGAGAGAGAAAGAAAGAGAGAGAGAGAGAGAGAGAGAGAGAGAGAGAGAGAGAGAGAGAGAGATAGAGCATGCCTTTTTTCGTTATTTTGGTGTGTCTTTTCCCAAATCAAATTGAAGATATTGCGAACAAGCATATGGAAATGCATTTAAATTACATCGAACGAACGCCTGAACGAACGATGATTTAAATGCGAATTTGGCACATGGATAAAATCAGAGGAAAGATGCATTACTAAAATTAAAAAAAAAAAAAAAATAGGACAGGCAAAACTGCATTTTATATTTAAAAAAAAAAAAAGAACATATTATGTAATATATCTTTGTCTTGCTTGCTACATTCATCCAGTTTTAACATATGACTATGAGTCCTGGACAATCGGTAGCCAGGCCAAACAATTTTTTGAGGGCTCAGAGATGTGGTTTTACAGAACAATGCTTAAAATACCTTGGACAGCCTAAAAAAAGCAAGGTTTTGAAAGAGGCGGGAGCCCGAAGACAACTAATCGCAGATATCAGAAGGAGACAGTCATCATTTTTCGGCCATCTTATAAGAAGAGTGAAAATGGAACATGTGGTGACCACTGGAAAGATTTGTGGAAGGAGAGATAGAAAAAGACAACGAGAGAAGATTCTTGACAGTCTTGTTGCATGTCATGGAGGTGTGTCAGCACACAAACTGATACATTCTGCAGGAGATCTCAGATTGTGGCGAGGCAAAATCGTCAACACCACTCGGCAAGGCACCTGATGATGATGATACACTATTCGTATTCGGCCGAATAGTGAAAATCACTTTTCGGTACAGCCCTCATATATATATATATATATATATATATATATATATATATATATATATATATATATATATATATACATAAAATGATCAAAATGGTTAATTTAAAATAAGATTTAAATTTGCACCAGAACCAACACGTGTAGTTTCCCTATATGAGTTGATGTGATTTTTCGTTTTCTTTTCCATTATTTGTCCCAGTGACTTAAGTGAGTTTTGCCTGTTTACAGCATAGTTGCGATATTGTTCCTTACGGCTGTTACATTTGATTTCATCTGGCATTTCTTCAACTAGCTAGCTTTTCGAGGTGTGATTATTTATGACATATGTCAGGTTATCAACTTTGATAACGACGAGGTTGGTCGTATAATTACTGAGGAAATTATCAATTATGAACCTTTTTTAACTAGACTGAAAGTGGGGTGAAATGTTAGGGACATGTAAAAAGATATATCGGCCTCAAACACACATATACACACACACAAAACAGTACAACTGCGTTCAGTAGAGTGGAAGAGGCAGACCAAGAAAGACCTGGATACAGAACTTGACTGACTGGACAGGCTTTAGGCATGCACGCAGGAAGTTCATCGCGTCTAACCGTCAAAGGCGGAGTGAGCTGATCAGACAGTCAGCAGCAACTGGTGACTTAATGACACACAGTGATACAGGACGACGATGATCTACCTTGACACTCTGAGAACTTGGTAATATCACTTCAAGGTGCAGGCGGATATCGTCGCCAGCAAGAAAGACAGACCGGTCCAAACTGAGAGTGACTTCAGCGACTTCTTGACGGGTACAGACAAGATTCACCTGTGGAACGACAATTCAGAACTGGTAGTCCGTTTCAAAACAAATCGTCAGAAAAAAACATACTACAATTGATCCTGTAATCTGTTTACATCTATATAACCCTCCCACCCCCAACCGCATATGTATCTCTGTCAGTTCCTCCACCCCCCCCCCCCCCCCCCAACTTATTCCCAGGCAGCCCCTCTACCTGCCTTTTCTTCCAGCCATCCACATCTCTCTCCTTTTCTACGTATCATTATTCCTACTGTAATGATTGGGAATTCCCTAATAGCCCTAGAGATTTTCCTAGATGACATTATAAGGACAGAAGGCCAGGATAAAAAGAAACGTATGGAAAAGAGGGTGTTTATAATGTTCCGAGTTTTTTTAAAACTATTGCAAGGGCAAAGCTTGTGACTGGAACGAACGTTTGAGCGGAGAGACGACTTAGAGTCAGTTGGTGATTGGACGACAGCGTGAAAAGTTGATTGCAGAAAGGAGCGACTGTTATGCATGGAGGTTGCTCATAACGTGTGCAAATTCCCGAGATTTCGAGAATCAAGGCTGGGTCGGTGTGAATCTGAAGCCTACGTCTAACTACTGTGAAATTCTGCGAAGCCAGATTAGCTGTTGGCATGAGTGTCATGTATGGACCGAAAGGTAATTACAGCTAAATTAGAGTTATGATACTTCCTACAGCAGTGTTCGTGACGGGTCCCTGTTTTACTTGTAGAAAAGAGATTGGACTGTACAGTTTTTGGATCGGCAATCAACTAATAGAAACTTGTAGATTGGTGTGTCTTCATCAACTTTATTCATTGGTGTGTCTTCATAAACTTTATTCATTGGTGTGTCTTCATCAACTTTATTCATTGGTGTGACTTCATCAACTTTATTCATTGGTGTGACTTCATCAACTTTATTCATTGGTGTGTCTTCATCAGCTTTATTCATTGGTGTGACTTCATCAATTTTATTCATTGGTGTGACTTCATCAACTTTATTCGTACTACCAAAACCACTGTACCAGTGGATGTTCAGAACGTCTATGGGCCCCGATAGAACCTAGACATATCCTTAAAACACCTACAGAGTCCCTTAAACCTGACTTAGGTCTCTCCCTTAATCTTCCCACTCCGGGTCCCTGTCATTTCACACACATTAGGTCCCTCTCCCTCTCCTCCTCCCCACTCCAGATCTCTATCCTTTTTCTCCCCCCTCCCCCCCCCCCATCTATCTCCTCTTTGCCCGACCTGGACTCCCCTCTTCCCTACCCTACATACCGCTTTTACTCCCATAAAATTTCCTGGTATCTATTTAACCTTAGTCAACCGTGTGGGTCAAGATCAATTATAAAAATATATACCCCGAGAGAGATTCAAATGCGTGACTTTCAGGCTGGCATCCAAGAATTTAGCCAGGACGTTACCGAGGCTCCTCTAGGCGTATATGTAAAGTAACCCTTCTCACGCCAGTTACAATTTAAACATCACACCGACCACCTTTACTTCCCTATACTTGGTATTTTAATGGTACTATCGGGACTGGAACTCTCCACTTGCTGCTGAAGATGGGACGGTGCGCTTATGGAAGTGTCCCGAGTCCTACGAAGTCGATTCCTAATTCAACATTTAACATTCAACATTTTACTAAACGTGGTACCAACTTTTGGCAGGGATGACCCGGTAGTCAAGAAATTGTTTTGGAAAATCCAACTCATGTGGGTTTGAGACAAGGATCTAGCCACTACACTATTGCGGCTGCAGGTAGATGTATGTTTAAGATTTATTAAAGACAATAATCCGCATATAAGTTCCGGGGCCTTATTTTAAAAGGAAATGGATAGACTCCAATCCCATAGCGTGTCGTAAAAAGCGATTGGTTAGGGTGTTTCCATCGAAGTCGGAGTGTACATGCCTGAAGGGTGAGAAACCAACAATCTGCGTACAGATAAATCACATCTGTAAGATTTATGTGCAAGCAAAACGCAAGTTATGATCAAATACCAAAATCCAGAAGTGGATGAACAAACATAACTTTCCAATATTAATAATGATGATGATAATAATAATAATTATAACAATAATAATAATATAATAATAACCCCACTGCGGGAGCATGCAGAGCAGGAGTTTACTGATCTTCAGTAGGTGTCCTCCTTCAACAATTGTTTGGGCCCGATTACCTGCCTAGACAGTCTCGGGGAGCGGGCCGACATGGGTCATGACTTCCAGGCCTCGGACTTCTGATCGGACATTTGAACTAAACATTGTGGTAGTTTTTGCAACAGATCAAAGGCCTCTGACTTCCCCTGATATGCTGATTGGACAACTGGACAAGACCTCATAGTGATTACTGCAACAGGTCCCAGGCCTCAGACTTTCTCTGCTGCGCTGATTGGACAAGACGTTATCGTGATTATTGCATCGGGTACTGGGGTTATGATGATATAAATCGTCGTTGTGGTAGCCAATCAAGCGCTTACCTACACGATCATAGTGACAAATAGACGGCTAGATCATCGGACAGACGTTTATCGGATAGACGTTCATCGGACAGACGTTCATCGGACAGATGTTCATCGGACAGACGTACATCGGACAGACGTTCATCGGACAGACGTTTGTGGGACAGACGTTTATCGGACAGACGTTTATCGGATAGACGTTCTTCTGACACACGTTCATCGGACAGACGTTCATCAGACAGACGTTCACCAGACAGACGTTTATCGGACAGACGTTCATCGGACAGACGTTTATCGACAGACGTTCATCAGACAGACGTTCATCTGCAGCCGTTCATCGTACAGACGTTTATCAGACAGACGTTTATTAGACAGACGTTCATCAGACAAACTTTGTGCCCAATTTACCTGTTCTGTATGAACGATTGGAGACATCGCTTCTGGTATTGCACTCAGATCAAAGCTTCGCTGAACATTGAAGTTGATCTGTGAATAGAATAGACATGGTAGGAACATAATCATGGGTCTCTGAATCTCTACTTGGTTACAACAACATCTACTTCTATAGGTTGTCTATCCACTAATCCCCACATCTGTCTCTCCAGTAACACCATCTATCTCTCCTGAATGTAAGTAAAGTAAGGCAACATTTTCCACGCCTTTATGTTTACTGGGCATATAGGGCTAGACCTATATTTGTATAGACCAATTGACATTTAATAGGTGATGTGATCAGCATCATGCCAGCCGCCTATACTTCCCAGGACTACACCTGCTACCCATTCAAGCCTAGGTTGACTTTGGAGCCAAGATAATTCATCAAAAAGGTCTGGTTCCGAAGGACCCGAACCCACGACCTTCCTATACGCAGGCGGGCGTCTAGCCGCCACACCACGGCGACTTCCTATCCTGAATGTCTATTCACATATTTCTCCATCTGTCTCTGTAAATTGTGCATCCACAAATCCGTCAAAATATCTCTTTCAGTTCTTTTTAGGCCTAGTGTCGCATGAGGCTTTAGAGAGGACTTTTCATGCCTTCTTTTCCTGTGTAATCCTAATGCGGTTTTCATTGTCAGAGATGCAGCACTCTCCATGTTGTTTTTGGGCGCGCCTTCTTTCTCTTTCCCTCTGGTGTCCAAGTGAGAGCTGTTTTTGCAGTTACATCAGGATTCATTCTCATAACGTTGCCAAGACAATTCCATCTTCTCTTTGTTAAAAAATTTCTAAAGTTTCTTGATTTGTGACTCGAAGTAGTTTAGTGTTTAAGACTGTATCTGGCCAGAAAGTTTTGATAATTCTACACAGACATGTTTGACCATACATCTCCACCTAATCCATTTTGAAATTTAAAGAAGTGAGCTCCCTCCCCCTCTCCCCCCCCCCCCCCTGCCCGCCACCCCAAACATTTTCTAGAGGGTTAAGGATGCCTAAGTCAGAGGTTCCGCTGCCCCTGACAGGTAGTTCTGGGTCATAGGTCACTTGCATGCATTCCTTGACGTCTGCATACAATTTAACATAGCAAGTTTCTATTCATGTTATGGTAAACTAAAGTGCGCACATTTTTCCCAGCCTCTGTACATCGTTAGTCAAGATGACTATATCGTAAGTGTTCACAAGCCCATTTCTTTACCGTGCGCAACCACTAAAAGTTAATGTGTCAAATTGAAAAGACAGCATACTGACAGTGTCGCGTCCTTCAGTGATGAAGGTTCAGGGGACTGCATACTGACAGTGTCGCGTCCTTCAGTGATGAAAGCTCAGGAGACTGCATACTGACAGTGTCGCGTCCTTCAGTGATAAAGATTCAGGAGACTGCATACTGACAGTGTCGCGTCCTTCAGTGATAAAGATTCAGGAGACTGCATACTGACAGTGTCGCGTCCTTCGGTGATAAAGGTTCAGGAGATTGCATACTGACAGTGTCGCGTAATTCGGTGATAAAGGTTCAGGAGATTGCATACTGACAGTGTCGCGTCCTTCGGGGATGAAGGTTCAGGGGACTGCATACTGACAGTGTCGCGTCCTTCGGGGATGAAGGTTCAGGGGACTGCATACTGACAGTGTCGCGTCCTTAAGTGATAAAGGTTCAGGAGACTGCATACTGACAGTGTTGCGTCCTTCGGTGATAAAGGTTCAGGAGACTGCATACTGACAGTGTCGCGTCCTTCGGTGATAAAGGATCAGGAGACTGCATACTGACAGTGTCGCGTCCTTAAGTGATAAAGGTTCAGGAGACTGCATACTGACAGTGTCGCGTCCTTCAGTGATGAAGGCTCAGGAGACTGCATACTGACAGTGTCGCGTCCTTCAGTGATGAAGGCTCAGGACTCTTAATACCCGTAGTCCGTCAGGCATATGATGCTAGACCCGCATTTGTATAAAGCTGTAGACATTCTGCGTGGTAGTTGGTCAACATCCTGCCCCCTGCCTTTACATTATAGACCAGTAGAGCAGTGGTCTATAACCTAGAGGCGCCTCCACCGGGGATAAGGAAGGGGAGGGGGGGGGGTAGGAGACATGAGGAAGGTACAACGGGGCGGTCAAGAAATTTGGAAAATGCGTTCAATAGTAATAATGTGTTGTACAAACATTAGGGGTGGGAGGGGTGGGTGGGGAGGGAGGGGAGATAAATAAAATAGTTTTTTTTACACTAGCTATAAAACACGGAGCCGAGGATTGTGTTTTCATAATCAGTTTGTACATCTCCTGTTAAAGATGTGATTAATATGAATACACCTGCATTATTTTTTTTACAGATTAAATGCACATTCTTCCTTTTCTTGTGTGTGTGTGTCTGTATGTTTTAATCCCATCTTGTTTTAATTTTTTTTGGGGGGTGGGGATGTAGGAGGGGTGGGGGTTCTGACAAATACTCAAAGGGGAGCGCCAACAGACAAAGGTATAAGAAAAATGCAGTAAAGGTTGGGCAGGTAATATGTCAAAAAATGAAATTAGTATTTGCATAAATATGCATGACTGTATTTCGAAACAAAAAATGTATATATTGAAAAAAAAAGTACTTTAAAAAATGTTTACAACTTTCCATCTTTCCTTACTACTGTGTTTTACTGTGTTTGAGAGTGTCACGACAATCAGAGCTTACGACAATGACAAATAAAGACACAGATGAAGCTCCTCTCCATAAGGCGAAGCCTATGCACTATTGCAGAGATCCAATGCTGCTAATCCAGCATGATCCCTGTCTTGGTCTGTTGTGTTAACTCCAAAAGAAAGGTAAAAATGAAACGTTCAGAACAGAGCATGCTGCAGATGTATTTTCCATGAATAAACCAGCATTGTCTTGTTACAACTTTAAGATAATTTGACACAAAGAACACATAACAAGGTCTACCTGTTTCTCCAAAAACACGCGAGTCCTGCGGTACTGTGCAGACGCACTTTGTGACCATACAGAACCGGCATCATCACAGAGTCGTACCTTGAGAGCGTACCGGATGTGGAGTTTGAAATCATTGGCGCTATCGTCGTGGTGGATGGTAGAGGGGAGGTCCCTGGGGAGTCGGACACTGATGGAGAGAAAGGTACAGCAGTAAACTTGGCAGAACCCTGGTGAGTCAGACACTGTTGGAGAGAAAGGTACAAGAGTAAACTTGGCAGAACCCTGGGGAGTCAGACACTGATGGAGAGAAAGATACAAGAGTAAACTTGGCAGAACCCTGGGGATTCAGACATTGATGGAGAGAAAGGTACAAGAGTAAACTTAGCAGAACCCTGGGGAGTCAGACACTGATGGAGAAAAGGGTACAAGAGTAAACTTAGCAGAACCCTGGGGAGTCAGACACGGATGGAGAGAAAGGTACAACAGTAAACTTGGCAGAACCCTGGTGAGTCGGACACTGATGGAGAGAAAGGTACAACAGTAAACTTGGCAGAACCCTGGGGAGTCTGACACTGATGGAGAGAAAGGTACAACAGTAAACGTGGCAGAACCATGGGGAGTCGGTCACTGATGGAGAGAAAGGTACAACAGTAAACTTGGCAGAACCCTGGGGAGTCGGTCACTGATGGAGAGAAAGGTACAACAGTAAACTTGGCAGAACCCTGGGGACACTGATGGAGAGAAAGGTACAATAATAAACTTGGCAGAAATATGGCATATAAAAACAAAAATATTCATCATAATCATCATTATCACCACTACAACCATTACAATTATCATGTCAACATTATCCTGTTGCGTCGTTATACATCACATAGGACATGTAATCTTTTCCTTCATTCTGCTCTGTGCAATACTTACAGTATCAAGGATACAGTCTAGACCAAAACTTGTAGCTCATTTTATGGAAAATTAAAACACAAATATCTGCCATATTTAGATCAAACCCCATGTGTAACCAAGGTAACCGCAAGTCATTTTGTCTATTTAAAACTGGACAAGCAGGAGCGCCCGAGCTCACGCCTCGCAACTCCCCTCCCTCATCCCTTTTACAGTAAGTAAATTTGTGTGTATCGTTCAACCCAACCAGAATCTCATAACCAGCGACCAACACCCGGTGACACAAAGGCCCTCCATTCGGAAGAGGATTTCCCGGGCACAAATCGCAGATACCCACCCCATTCCCGTTCAAATATTAGGTTATATTAGGGCCCCGACTACAACCTCGATAGGGATTTAGAATAACGAAAAATTGAGTCCCAGATTGTGACAACAGTAAGTTAGTACTAGCAAATTTGTAAGTGGGCGGAATTGCTCCCTACCCACGAATAGCAGTCTGTTGAAAGTATTTGTTTACACCTTTTATATTCTTTGAATGATATTGATATATATTTTTTGTAATTTCGCATATCCATTATTTTTGTGGCCCACGTATACAAGGCATAAGCTCCTTGAGTTTCCTCCCCCCCCCCCCCCCCCCCCCCGCCATTCTCACAACCGCCACAACGAATTTAATGACAAGGGAGCTGAGACCCGTGCCACAAAGGTTTCTTTGTTTTGTCTCCCCTGTAAAGGCTAGATGCGCATTTGCTTCGCATCTGGCGTGCTCCATCAGCATGTATTATTTCATACGCCCACAACCCTTCATGACATGACAAAAGGCTTTCAAGCAGCCTATTATCTATCGGTGTCTCTCTTTTTCATAAATCTTCCCAGTTGTCACAATATGTTCCAGGTGGTTTCTTCACAAAATGTTGTTGACAAAATGATGATTACTCATACTCATTTTGGCGGTTCAAGAAATGTTAAGTAGTTTTTTTTTTTTTTTTTTAAAGCTAGGAAGTGACTATAGTATACTGGCTAGTCACTCGTCCGCTGGCCTGAAGGTCTTAGGTTCAAATCCACATAGTGTCGGATTCGATTTAAAATTGACGTTGGCAACCCTGTCAACCCAGCATGAAGTATCGAGCAATGTCCTGGCGTCTGTGGCTTGATACTGATCACATCACTAACTGAATGCTGATTGATCTATGTGCCTTTTAAAATAAGTATTCAATATGGTATCTGGTAATCTGGTAATCTTAGTTTCAGCTTCATAGCAAACGGGTCACCCCATAGTTTCTCCGCTCCTGTACCAACGAAAAAAAAAAAAAAAACCCACAGAATGTTTATTACAGTCCCTTGTGAAAAGATTGACAGACTGCTGCTTCAGCATACTCGCTAGCATACACACGCATTAAAAGCATATGGTAGCCATCCGAAGTGCTAACACATACAGTCCGACATAAGAAATACAGTTCATCATGGATAGCAGAAGTCACCAACAGATCAGCACTTGAACACGCGATCAATTTTAATCACATAATGGCACCACCAATATTGTGACAACAGGCATCGTGCTATTTTCTGAATCTAAAACTCACACCACCACCTTGGTCACAGTAGAAAACCATTCCAAATGAAAACCGCAGATCACAGTGTTACGCCATGCACTGAACTCAGAAGCTGGCCGACGAAACTATGTGTTCAGTCTACAAATGGAGCAAAAATTCGCAGGCTACCATCTGGCAGAAGCCAAAAAATTTGCAACGGTTCACGACAGTGAGTGTCTCTAGCGTCTATTTTGACCGGAAGTTCAATTTGGTATGCTTCTGTGCACCAATAACATAAACATAGTCCTTTAGTATACCTTATACAATTGGTGGATTTTCCCGGCTTGTTTACTAACTGTCTGGGACTCACAAGCAAGATACGTAATATATATATATATATATATATATATATATATATATATATATATATATATATATATATATATATATCTTTATACACATATACATATATAAATATAAATATATATTTATATATGTATATGTGTATAAAGATATATATATATATATTTATATGTATATATATATATATATATATATATATATATATATATATATATATAAAATATAGGACCCTTTTTCTACGTATAGGGCATATAGGGCAAGACCTATATTTTATAGACCAATCGGCACACTGTGGGTGATGTGGTCAGCATTACGCCTGCCGCGTCTACTTCCCGGGACTGCACCCGGTACCCACTCAAGGCTGGGTCGACTTAGGAGCCAAAGTACTCAGTAGTGGATGTGATCAAATTACCATGACTTTGTCTGGTACTTATTTTAGGTTGGATCGACCTGGAAGCCTTTGCCAGTTTTAAATAAAATCCGTCTCGATGCGCATGTGAACACCTTTATTGATTACTGAAAAAAAAAAACATCATTTCTAGAATGCACTACAAACACCCCCCCCCCCCCCCGAGAATAATAGATTTAAATACAGGGCTTATCATTGTGAACTTAAATTAATTCGGATATAATGAATACAACATACAGTTTATTGCCTGGTAAACTCAAGTCCTGCTAAAAAGAGCACAAGCACTCGTATGGTAGCGTGCATGTCTGCTGCCTTCTATCTTGTGCAATGTGCTGATCGGTTTGATAAAATGATTTGTCATACAATGAAAACAAACTGGCCAACATATTCTACCTTGGGTCTGCCGCCAAGCATCTCGTCCACTGTTTTGTTGTCACGACATACTTCAGTGGAAATAACCCATAATATTTTTACGTCAGTGGTGCATAAAGCACCATAATCAAATTTGTATAGATCAATCAGCACGCTGCGGGTAATGCAGTTCAACATCACACTGACCGCCTTCTATGATTACTGTTTACCGAGGGGGGGGGGGTGGGGCGGTGGAGAGATTAGACTAATTGCTCTATAAAAAGCTTTCAATCTTCGCTTAAATAAATCGTCACGTTATAGTGACAAGAAAGACCCACGGAGGGAATGGAGAAAAGCCCAGAAATACAAAAGGACATTTCGCCTAAAGAATTTGTCAATGGAGTACTCAGTACAACACGATTTCTACTAGAAAACTCAACGGTCAAGACAGGTCTAAATAGGACCAGAAATATGTAATAAGAGAAAATGTGGAAATGACGAGGCTATATCTGAGAATAAAACAAAGAAGACGGAAACAAATAAGACGCTGCCCCCCCCCCCCCCCCCAAAACTCTCCTCTCCTCTATGTCTCACATACTTTCTTATTTGTAATGCAGCCTTTGCTGGCAGTCAATATATTGGGCAGTGAATTGTGTTCGCATTTTTTTTAAATGCTAGATGTGGACACAAGAAATACATACCGAAACTTGGAAGTGTATTGGCCTGGGGTAAGCACTGAACCAATGTGAGCATCGCTTGCTCCAATGATGCATTTCTCCTTATACAGGTACGTCTCCCGAACCGTCTGTGGATATCCATTGTTGGACTTTCTCTTGGTGAACTGGCCCTGGCCTATTGCAACCAGCTCCACATATCGGATCTCCAAACTTTTCAGCACAATAATATTAATAGTCCCAGTGATATTCTCACCTGGTTGGTAATAATAGTTTGATCCCTGGTCAGTTTCGATATCAAAATAAGAAATACTGTTATGTTTTGATGAGGTATAACGGAATTTGGATGTTCTGTCTAGCCTCTTATACGGAAGTTTTAAAGTTGTGCCAAAATGTGTCTTTTTCAAGAACGCTGTCGGTGCAGGCTGTCTTCCAATAGTCTGAGAAAATGCAAGTTGTCCATTTGGAATATTCCCTCTGCGAAGACTAGACCCGATATCGTATGGTAGACTTGAGTCTAAATTCAATGGAATGTTTAGTGACGAGAAATTCTGTATGTATATGCTGCTTTTCCCACTGTTGCTGTATACGTTTCTTATTGTTTCAGTGTTGCTGTCTTCGTTATTTCTACGATATATCAAGTGATTGTCTGAATAGACATCTCGTAAAGTGGATGAGATAGTGTACAAATCCGGGTTGCGAAATGCTGGGTTGTCGAAGCTTTGATCGTGTTTTGGTCCGCCGTTGGGTAACGTCAGCCGTTGGTTTTTATCGTTATTGGAATCTCGTTTAGTGTAGATATTCATTGTATTTTATTAGTTAGATAACGGGGGTATCTTTCTGTGTTCTGTGACTGTTCTGGGATGTTTTTGTTGTTGGCGTCCGCTCATAGAAACTTGCATACGTCTTCGCTTACTGCTAGGGTATCTTCAGGATGATCTAAATGTTAAAGGAAAAACAAATAATAATTAATACAACAAAGTACCAGAAACAAAGGAAATATCTGCACCACATTCAACAACTAATGGAACCGGACAGTCCAATAGCCACAGGCTGTTCTGTTGCTCAAAGTAGTTAGGTTTAATCTGTATTAAGACATATTTTTTATAGTTGATAACTGATTCATTCTAAACGATATTATTATATTACCTTATTCATTCGTTTATACATTTATTCATTTTCCTGTTGTGCCAATGTATGTCACATAGGGCTCGAAGTCTATTCCTCCATTCCATCCTGTTCTGTGCAATCCCTTCCACATCATGTATGGAATCCAGTTCAACAAATGTAGCCTCTCTCATCAACGTTTCTTAGGTTTTTTTTTTTAAATCAAAGTAGTGCTCATGTCAGATCTTTGACTTCCGTAGAGCAGTTTTCATCCGCAGCTATCATTCACGCACATTGCGCACAAAACCACTCAACTCGTTTGTTTACTAGAACGGTGCCTTTTCATGCACGTTTCTGTACAGGGCGGAGAACTTGCACCGGCAACCTACCCTCCACCTTTCTTATCCAAGCTTGTGACTGGCAATGGCGAAGGTTCTTTAGAAGATATTTTTTTTATAAAACAAAGCGAGTAAGGGAAAGCTGAGGGCGGGTCAGAATGAGGTAAACAGCGATAGCAGCATACCATTAAATGATGACTAAGCAACAGTCTTAGGCGGCGTCCGTGGCTAAGGCGTTGCGAGTCCGACTCGTAAGCCATCATACCGCGATCGAAACCCACTGCAGGCTGCGTGGATTTTTATCGTGGTATGGGACGTCGCAGGTCGACCCAGCCTAAAATGGGTACCAGGATGGGCTGTCCTGGGAAAGTAAAGACAGCCGGCGTAATGCTGACCACATTACCCACAGAGTGCTGATGGTCTGTAAAAATATGGGACGCTCTGCCCATATGCCCGATGCGCCGAAAGGCGTGAAAAGGGAACTTTACTTTCTTTACTTTTTAAGCAACAGTCCTAGAGGGTGTCATGCAATCAGATGTCCATCTCCACAATAAAGGTTGTTTCATGTTGACCTTCAACACGGTGTTATAAATAATGGTTGTACACTAATAATGAAAGTATTAGTGATAGGTGATTTATGTTAATCGGGGTATATACCGTAATCCCTTCCACGGCGCCATTCTGTTTTCATTCTTCCACTTTTGCAACAACGTATAAACATCAGAATAAGACAGTAATAATTTGTATTTTGTTGTGTTATGAGAAGAGGACAAATGGAACATGTTGTGACCATTAGAAAATTCTGTGGAAAAAGATACCGAACAAGACAGCTCGAGAAGATGCTAGACACCTTTTGTTATGGCATGAAGGACTGAGAATACCCGAACTACTACTGCTGTTTCGGATCGCAGATTGCGGAGAGGCATAACAGCCCACTTCAATCGGCATGGCACTTGGTGTTGGTGATAATGATGATGAGGATGATAGTCAAATTCCAATCACTGTGGTTTGGTTCCCTTCCATTTGCTTCATTTCAATTAAATTCAGTGGACTAAACTGAGATAAACAGCAGAACAGCAAAACTAGAATGTCTTTGCATTGGAACCCACAGGTGCATAGGAATAAAGGAAGGCCAGAGAACACATGGAGAAGAGAGCTGGAGAATGTAGTTAGAAAGATGGGGAGGACATGGGGAGAGCTCCATGCAATGGCGAAGGATAAAACGACTTGGCATGAGTTGGTTGAGGGCCTATGCTCCATTGGGGGATAAAAAGGCAGAAGAAGAAGAATAAACTGAGATAAACAGAGATACCATCACCATTCTCGACGTTTTCGGGTCCTGACGGAGCCGGGCTGTTTCTTTTCAGAAATGTCCTTGGCTCCTAGGTCGATCCAGCCTTGACCTATTACCCTGTATAATCATGGGAAGTAAAGGCAACATCACCCTACATCACCCACTGAGCGCCGACCGGTCTTTAAAATATAGTTCTAGCTCCCAGTATGCCTAAGGTGTGAAAAAGGCGCCTCTGCTTAATTTACTTTACTCTCTACGTTAAATTGTGCTTGCAGTCTTATCTCTATCCAGTCTTTTCCACATCATGGCATTACATCTAGGAAGACGAATCATTTTGCTACATTTCGAGAAGAGTGAATAGCATATCAGAAAGTGGGTGTAATGCAGCGTTAAATTACAATAGAAAACAACTCAATGTTCGGCCAGCAAACAGTATACCACAAGGAGAAATGATGTACAGACCCAGTGGAAATCCAAAGAAGAGCCAAAGATGTAAACAACAGACATCTGGAAAAACAATTCCTGACAATCGCCATATTTTTAGTTTCAACCTTTCCGTCTTTTTCAGACGGTAGCGTTATATCTTGGACGCACCCACAGGCGATGGAATATCAAAAAGTCTGGGAAATGCTGTAGAAACTTTGTGTTGTCCATGCATCAGGACCTCTCTTCTGACCTGCCTTGTTTAATTAAAAAAAAATTAACACTAATTCGTTTAGAAGAAAGTTTTCTGCAGACGACGCTAGAAGAGAAGAATTGTGTTCTGTCTGTTGGCCTGAGGGTGCTTACACCCTAGATTTTCTGACAGTCAACGTGTCAGTAACCTGTGTGGCTATGAGATGGCAGTGTATCATTATGGTGAAAAGTGGGCTAATACTTAGCTGACCGTGTGTTCAACCGCCCACGGAGACTTCGAGCAGACTAGCGGGACGAATCAACTAATCATTCCAGGGTCCACGAGGTTCTCCCGGACCGGGCAGTGATCTGGGGACTGGACGAAAGCGACGGAAGACGGTTCTACGGGGAGTTTGTCAGCGAGATTTGGACAAAACTTGTGGCGTTATGACCGTTAGATGTTTCCAGATTTGACTTAAGGTGCCGACAGGTATTTTATGATTTTTTTTTCCTTTAAAATTCAGAAACCATGAGTTGTTAACCCTTTGCTCGGTACCATGGATAATGCAACCCTTCGACCTTGATTCCATCATAGGTACCGTAAATCTGGGAGAAATGTGGCTTTTCTGCCTACCCCTGGGAGTGAACCCGGACCAAAAGAAGTTCGTCACCTGGTCACCGCGACGTCAGGTTAAACCAACTACGCTAGAGAGCCGGGCGTTTTTTATGATAAAATGTGTTAGCTTGACAGTAGGATATTTCAAGTGTTAGTCTGCCTTAGAGAGAATCCATTGTGTTTATTTATATTGGTATTCATTTATTCATGTATTTAGCTGTGTGTTAACAAAATGTTTCGGGAAGGATTTATCTGGTTAAGTGACAATGTTTGTTTACTCGAACTATTTGGAGACGTGCAGTAGCACAGCAGTCCTAGTGTAAGGTGCAAATAAGTTGGAAAGAGCTTGGATGGGAGGCTGTTGGTTCGGACCCGGGTCATGTCTCGAACACGTGAATAGCCAATGTGTGAGTGGCGATTTTAAGGCCTCCAGACCTATTGAGGTAGGGTTAGCGAGCCACCTCTAGGATAACTGCCTAGTGCTTGTTGTTCATTATATTAAAGACATGTGGGTGTGCTCTGACAGTTTTGGTTTAGTTGTGTCTGAGGATAGATGTTTCTGTCATGGAGCTGCACACCAGCTATTTGCCTTGACGGCAGTAACAGGTCTCTCACAAATGGCCATGGGCCTTGTCTGTCATGTCATAACAGTACGTTTTCAGGTTGTATTTCTGTGTCCTATGATAAGGGTAGTATTCTGGTAAAGCGTTCGTCCACAAGAAACCATAGGCACAATTAGGGATGTCATCGAGGGGTGGGGGGGGGGAATAGACCCACTGTTTCCTTAACGAGCATGTCGTATATTATAATATATGTGCCGTCTCCACAGTGAAGGTTGGCTACGGCGTACCATTGTTGTCAATGAGAATATTACGTGGTGAGGCAACACCTCTTCCACTCCGTGACTCTCGTACCGTTGTCCGAAAACAATCAAAGCGACTTTTTAACCGTCTTAGTCACAGTTTTAACTTCACTTCAATCGGGTCACCCCCGTACTTGCTCCGTTCCTGTGCTAGTGAATATCAAATGAATTGGAAACAACGTCCCCTTTGACAAACTGATAAACAAACAATTAGTCCCGGAACAATCCAGTAATAAGCGCACGCAGTAAATGATATGGCAGTTGCTAGAGGCACGTCGGCAAACAGTCGTCACCAGAAATGCAGTTTGTCGTTGATGAAAATAGTATGGCACGATGTTGGTCATACACATGTAGAATTATTACAAAAAGTATTTCACCAGCTCGCACGTAAGAATACCCCGACTCAACCGCTGTACACATAAAAGGCATTTCACAAGAAAAACACAGCTCACAGGGCTGCACCAAGCCCGAAACTCAAGCTCAGGCAGCGAAATCGTAGACCACGTCCATTTGTAATAACTGCATTAGCAAAGCGCTGTCGGATTACTAATTTCGAAGCTTTCCATTCTGATATGCTTATCTTTCATTTTTGACCGTAAGTTCAACTTAACTGTCTAACATTTTAACCGTCTACTGCGGGGAACGAACCTAAGTACTTGAGGATCATGAAATTGTCATCCTCTAAACCAATTAGCAGGTCATTCAAGGCAACATATAATTAAGAGAGTTTTCTTTAAGTCTAATATATTAGAAGCAAGCAATCTAAGTAAAAAAAAAAAAAAAAAAAAAAAAAAAAAAAAAAAAAAAGATGTGCACTTGAAACTCAAGTTTTTAAAAGGGACCAAAGTCCAGAAATGGACGAACAACTAGAACTTTCTACACAAGTTAACAACCGGTGAACGATAAGAAAATGGACAAGTTAAAAGAAAACCAATACCATTGTGGCGCATTGGGCATATGAGCATCGACTCATC